ATCTAAATTTTGATTCTTAATCGAAGATGTAGATATCAATTAACCACAGCATCCACCTACCGTCAGGTGAACTATGTCAACTTTAATTCTATAAAAAAAAGTTATAATAAAACATGTTATATTTATAATAAAATGTAGTAGCCGCCTCAGTAACCGCCAAAGAAAATAATGTTAAAGCCAGAGCTTACAAAAAGAGTCTTAAAAAGGCAGCTAGAAAAAAATCAAGTTTAAAGGTAGACGGCTCCATGGCGCGGTGCCTTAGCACTGAGTTGCGGTGCTAAGGGCCGCGGTTCAAATCCCGCATGGAATAAGTGTTTGTATGGCCTACAAATAACTGTTCCGGTTCTGCCTTCAAAATACAGGAGATTATCCTTGTAAGGGGCCAACCATTTTAAAAGAAAAATTGAATCGAACTCAACTATACTTACTGCTGAAGCAACTTAAATACATGCTTGCTTGAACAACATAATTTTAGAGCCTTTCAGAATTCAATATTCGCAAGTACAGCACTTACACTTTTCATAAATCAACCCTGTTAAAATTAGAAGAGTTTCGACCTCTCGGTATATCGCCGAATCCACTTTCCCCAAACAGCGATTCTCTGCTTTAGGTCGCATTATATCCGGATGGGACAAACTAACATTTGTTCCAGCAAACGCCATCCTGACTGTGCGTACAATCCTTGGCCTGTTATTGCCTAACCTGAAGCATATTAGTCTGCCGATGAGGGCTAGCCTTTGTGATACGTTCTTCAATTCTTATTCTCTGGGCTAGGATACCGTTACTTTGTCCATTAGCGCGTCCAGCCGTGGAAAATTTGGCGCCTATAATACGGAAGACTGCCAGTGCGGCGCCAAAAAGAATTGAGTTCATCTTGCAAAGGTCCCAGCTCGATTCCAAATAGGTCACCAGCATTGAGTTCAGAGCCCTCACGACAGCCCGATTTCGCATGGTTAGGGCTATCCGGGGAAGTCGCCGTCGATTTTCGACGGGCGTACCGCGCGTTTCCACAATCGCCTCTTGCAATGTACCCCTCATTTGTTCTAATTCCAGTTCCTGGGCGACTGTTCCATCATCATTTGAATCAGAACCACAACTGGGGTATTCACGGCGGCATCCACGTTTGCGGGTTGCTCTGCAAGTTGTGGCGCCGCATCCTCAGCCGTGGCATTTTAATCCGATGAGGGAACAGCCTCACGTCGTAGCTGTTCGAGTTCGGCGACATCAAATATATTTGAGCGCAAGATATACCAAACTCGGTCTGCCAGGTTTTGCTCGGTGACTGTTATAGATGGCTCCAGGTCAGCAAAAAGTCGATGCATCCTAGCCTGATAGGCAAAACCTCCAATTTCTTCCCCTTTCGCCCTAAAATACGCCCGCAAGGCATTGCTATTCATCTGCATTGTCCAACGCATGCGGCGTACTCCACCAGTGGCGGGTGCCGATTGCTGGGTCCGCGAAGACCCTGCTGACACCAAGCCAGCTGGTGGGGATGATGGATGCGAGGGGCTGATGGGTGGTCGAGCAGCACCTCGTGCTCGGCTGCCGGTTTGCATGCAGTCGCATCCAGCGCCAGCTCCAGACGCGTCCTGGCGACCTCCAGGCAGCGGCCCTTTGTGTGTTCTATTTAATTCCATCATCCACTTACTGCGCGTCATTTAACGGGAGACGCCCAGACCCGGCGCTGTTTCATGATGAGGCCATGTGGACAAGCGGGCCTTTGCACCTTCAATTTTTGCCGAGGCACGGCACTAACACCTCTTGGCAAGGTACTGACTGACTGCGCTGAAGGAGCTGTTTTGTCACATAACCGTTACGACAGCGGACGATGGGGTCGTCACTTCCCTACGCCTTAATAAATTATTATTATTGGGGATTATTGACAGAGTATTCACATCTGGTTGCGCTGGATAAATACATAAAAGGAAATGATAAATATACATAAATATATATTTCATATTCTAACATAAATAAATAAATAATACATAAATAAATACAAACCACCAGATGGAAGCACTCAGCAGGGGAGACCAAACAACCGAGGGTTAGGGGGAAAGGGAAAGAAACCGGCGGACGATGCGGGCGGGATCGAGGAGCACCGCCTTATGCATTTGAGCCCGGAGCGATCCGTCACGGAGTCCCACTCGCCTTATCAGATCTAGAGAACCCGAGAGGCTGACTGGGATTAGCCCATTCGCAGAGACGACTACAGGAATAATTTCGGTCGGTAGACCACCCCACATGTCGGTCACCTCGTGAGCCAGGTCCAGATATTTTGATTGCTTATCTGTTTCGGCTTTCACGAGGTTCTCGTCATACGGAATGGTAATATCGACCAAAAATATCCTTGACTGTGCCCGGTACATCAGCACAATATCAGGCTTATTCGCAAGAATAGTCCCGTCTGTGATAATGGCCCGGTCCCAGTAGAGCCTAGCGCAGTCATTTTCGCACACGGCATCCGGCAAGTACTTGTAATACGGCAATTTTCGGTCCACGAGACCGTATTTCAGAGAGAGCTCCTGGTGTAGAATTCTGGCTACTAGGTTGTGTCTGTGCAAGTACTCAGAGTTAGAAAGCGCCGAACAACCGGAGATGACATGCCTAAGCGACTCAACGGGATGGTGACAAGCTCGACAGACTTCGACGGTGCCATCCTTTAGGATGTATCTCCGATAGTTGTTGGTCTTAATAACCTGATCCTGTATTGCACAGACAAAACTCTCGGTTTCCCCGAAGAAGTCACCGAAACGTAGCCAGTTGAGGGAGGCGACTGTATCTACGAAGGGCTCATGTAGAGCCCTATAGTATCTCCCGTGGAGCTCCTTGTCCTTCCATACGGTCTCCCGGTCGGAAATGCTCTGTACTGCCGGGTCCTGCCATTGCTCATTCATTAAGGATAGAGGGGTAAGTCCTTTATCACTAGAAATGACGTCATTATAGAATGGATCATCCGATCTCGCCAGGAAGTAATGACGGAGGCTGCACACTTCGCGATTATGCATGGTGAGCGCGCTCTGCTTTCGCATTTCGACGGAAAGCCACGCCCACCATGCTTCGCGGCAAGTACAGCCTCATTACCGACGATCTCGGATAATGCATCCATGGGACGTCATACTCGTAGTAGTGCGGACTTTTCTATCCAGGGCGTTAAGTTCGGTCTGAGTCCACCAGAGTATGCCAAAGGTATACATGAGGACAGGCATGACCCAACCGTTATATGCGTGTGTCTTATTCACACCGGACAAAAGACTGTTAAGAACTTTGGTCAAGCGTGCATAAAACACGTCGCAAACTGACTGTTCCATACCAGCCTCATCGATACCGATGTTCTGTTACATACCCAGGTATCGGTATGTTTCAGCCTCGCAAAGGGTCCTTGAGTTGTCTGTCAAATTTAGTAATTAATAATAATAATAAATTATTATTATTGTTAATTACTAAATTTGACAGACAAACTTAATAATTAATAATAATAATAAATTATTATTATACTAAATTTGACAGACACACAGACAAACTAGACAGTGACTTAATAAAAACGTCGTAAAAAAGAACCCGATTAAAAGTCAGTCTCACCTGCTAGACACAACGAGCCTCATCTCATTACTGGGAGAGTTCGACGTTCGTTCGAGTAGCGGACTTCACTTGACCTCGAAATATTTGGTTCGTCAAACATGCTAGCTAATTATCCAACCAACCGATCAAATTATTTTCTTTTATTTATTGGACTAATTGTTTTTCATTTCATAGAAACCAGGTTTAGTCGTAGGTAGGCGGTTTACGGTTTGTTAAACTGACGTGTATTCGTATTACGTTACGGTTAATTACGAAAGATATAATAAATATATTATATATTTTTTAAATTATAATTTATTTTATTATGAATCTCAACAACAGCGCCATCTACCGGGTCCAAATGAGTTTTTAAACCATCCAGGGTTTCTCGCAACACACAAAAAACTATCAAAATCGTTCGAGCTGTTTTCGAGTTTTAGCGAGATTACGGACGGCAATTGATTTTTATATAGAAGAAGAAGAAATTATAGAAGAAGAAGGTTAAATATCAACGGCCTTGGAGTGGCCCTTAGGACACCTTTTTACTTATATCGCTGATATTTTATAATAGGTACTTTCGTATTTGTGCCAAAACGAAGTCTAAAACTACCATAGACTAAATCTAGTTTTAGCCAAAAGCAATTGTTTTATTCTACTTTTAGCTACGAATAAATCGAATACGCCCAAGTTTAACCAACCGCAATTGGTTGCACTTAGTTGTAGCCGGATTATGCCTGTTAATTAGCCACTTCTTTAGTTTCCTCACGATGTTTTCCTTCACCACCGAGCACGTATTCTACCAGCAATTAAAATTGCAATTAACAATTTCATTGGTACCGGCGAAGTACCGGCAGGTTGCTCGCGTAGTGTCTGATTAACCATAGCTCTCTAGTACCGATAGTACAAATATTTTAGAGATAATTTTCTTTAATTGATATTCATATCCAGATTATAATTTATTTTTATAAAATAATATTAAAACAGTGCTTTTATAAAAAAAAGTAACGTACAGTCCACCTGATGGTATGTAAGTGGCTATTGCAGTACATGTACACCTGCTGTCAGCTTTTGAGGACTAAAATGGAATTTCTCACTAAATCCTTCAGTTTGGAACACAGCAGTGAAAGAACTGCTATTATGTTAAAAAAATAGGAAAATAGGGTGGCATCTACGCACGCAGGCTAGTAAAGGAGTCCACAAAATATATCCTCACTTATTAATATTTTCATGTGGTACTATTCACGATCATACGACATAAGTTTTTACGTGGTTCATGTTATACAGGTAACAAGAGAACCCCACATTAGGCTCCGCGCAGTCGAGCATAAACAACCGAATGAAACGTTGTTCTATCCTGATAGTCCATTAGATCACTCGATTAAATGCAAATAATTTTCTTGAATTATTCCTAAATTCAATTTATTCTTCTTTGGCGATTACAGATATGACAACGTCTCAAATTGAAGCTGAGAATACGCAGATGACCAACGATTTGTACCGTCTGCTGAAGAAATATACAGGATTGAGGAATCTAATCAGGGAACTAAAGGTATTCTTAATAAACACGATAATCTTTAATTATTTTAGTTATAAATTTATATTTTATAATTAATAATTATAAAATGAAATTTGCTTAATATGTAGGCTATAAGTTTTCCCAGAAATTTCTATAAACACATAAAGCTGAAGTGAAACACCGATACTCCAAGACGTCTGCAGTCTGTGAATATACTCAGAATAGTTCCCACCATTAGGACTTCGAATTGAACAAACCACAAAGCCTCATAGAAGAACTCCGATATCTAATACTAAAGTAAATTTAGAAGACTATTAAAGTTAAAGAAAAATCCTTATTTATTTATTATTAAAGAGAAGATGGCTGGTTTCCATAAAGTAATTGGGTTTCGAAAATTAATAAAATAATTCCAAACCCAAGCAAACCACATTACTTCTAAATAGATACTGTAAGCGTGTTCCGTACAGATCAGATCAAAAATTCATAAAGCTGAAGGTATCCCGGGACAACTAGGCCATCAGAACAAACAAAAATCAAAACGTTGACATTTAAAAATAAGTTACAACTAAAAAAAATTTTTTAGCGATTCATCTACGGCGCAAAAAAATCCATGACTCCATTTCATTTTTGTGACGTAAGAGGAGACTATGGGAAATATCGGAAAGATCTTAAAGCTTACGATAGATGGCGGTAAAATCATATTAATTAAGCCAGACGTCAAAACCCTAAGCGCCGAAGGGGAGTAGCCTCAAAGATTATGGACGTCTGGTACTAGTCTGACAAAACTGCACTACAAAGGCAAGGACCGTCCCTCAGCAGGGGACTTTTTTGAAGAGCCGCGTGATTCTTGACTGCGGGCCATATAATGTTGATTAAGTTATATAATGCTCAGCGGGCTATGGAGGTAACTGTGCTTGGAGTTTTTCTGCGTAATAGAATTTGTAATTAATATATCTACAAAACGAAACTAAGTTCGAAAAACTAATGGGAAAGAAAGTTTTTCGAATCGCAGTTAAAGTTACAGCCTACATACGTCCCACTGCTGGGCACAGGCCTCCTCTCATTTCTGAGAGGGTTTAAGGCAAATAAACGTTGGCTGCGCTGCCGCAATGCGTGTTGGTGAACTTCACAATTCGAAGTATTATACGAATGTCAGTAATCTGGGAAGTAATCTCTTCCTCTTATGAGATACTGTTACGACCTGGATACGGTAAGTCGATGGATGCAGTTGGTTCGGGATCGTGTTTTATGGCAGTTTCAGATACTTAAGTCAGCAGTGAATTTGTAATCATCTGTAATGAAGATTATTATCATATTATTTCAATTAACACAAAGCTTTGTCGACGGCTTCGACGGCTCCGTGTCGCAGCGCCTTAGCAATGATTTGCAGCACTAAGGGCCACGGGTTCGAATCCCGCACGGAACAAGTATTTGTATGGCCTACAAATAATAATTGTTTCAGGTCTGGATGTTTGTCCTTGTAAAGTGTATGTATGTATACTGCCACCATTCAGGAGCAAAATCCTAATGTAACGTTTTAAAATAATAAAAAAATATGTCGAAGCTTATGTCAGCCTTTGGAGATACAATGAATTATTTTGATTTATTCAATCTTTATTGTTAACACATTAATAAAATATGATAATAAAGATGCCTACCTATCGACATTCTCTGCCAGTCAACAATAGATACATTAATTGTATGTTTTAATCGAAGGTCACATATTTGCCTTGCAATGATATTAATGTAAGAAACATGCCTCGATAAATTAATGACATCTTTAGCAATGAATAATTCCTTCGTGATATCATTGGTATTGCGGTCCCACGTTATGAATAGAATAAAGTAGTATTCTATGACGACATGAATGATTACGAAGGATACTAATACATTTGGATTAAAAAATAAGAGTCTCATTCAATAACAACAGTATTTCAATAAAAAAAATTATAAAAATCGGATCACTCACCTTGCAGGTATTTTGTTACCGTGTACCGTGTCCACCGTGTGTATAGAGGCGGTGTGAGAATATCCACTAACCCTTAACGTCACGTGTGTGTCGTAAGAGGCCACAGAGTAAAACAAACCAGGACATGAGCAGCGGCGTCTACCTAGTAACAACTAAAAAATTAAACACCTAAGATCTGCAATAAAATAAAAAGTGTCTAGTTTGAAGAGCACCTCCCGCCCTCGCTCAATTGCATGCACTATTCCCGTGCCAGCTTTAACACTGTCAGCCACTTAGACCATTCAATCCAAGATCAGCCACTGCAGAGTCTAGTCCACCAGAGGATGCCTCGGAGGCGATATACGCGTCGTATTATCGATGGTGTGTCTTTCTGGTGTGGTAGTGGTGGGAGTAGTTGTGCTGGGATTAGTGGTGACGGGATAGTGCACGCAATCGATGGAGGGCGGGAGTATGCTCTTCAATCTATATAAGACACATCATTTTATTCTATTACGCGAACCTTAGCTAATTAATGTTTCACATATTTAACTAATACGTTCGAAAAATTGCAAAAGTAGAGCTTTAAGTCTTTCACACAACTCAGTGTTGAGGGTGTCATATTATGTCATTTAATAAACACTATGCTCAACCTTAATTTGGTGCATTTCCGTTGTTTTAAAATTGTAGTCTTATGTAAAATTGTTACAAACCGTCCGTTGTACAAATTAAATTATATATCTGGTGTACGACGCTTAAAAACGTCAACGATTCACCTCATATAATTAAATAAATAATAATTGTTTAATTTCAGTCGGAGTACGTCAGCTCAAAGGTATACCCGATGTTCCCGAGATATACAATGCTGAAGGACATGATCAAGGACATTATGCACGATCCTGATTATATGGAGGTCTGCCACGAGGTGGATCCATAGCGCGGGGTGCGCAATTAAATGAGAAGCTCTTTCACCGACCGCCGAAGGTTGAGTCGTCGCCAGTTGTGAGCCAGATGGAAACACATGGACGTGCTGAGTGGGCCTCGTGTCTGCGTCCACGTCGGAAGCGATTGCAATTTCTGTGCTTGATGTTACGCCTGGTGTTCTATGCTTCAGCTTGTTAATGTCGCGATGTCTATACAATATGTAACGTAATTAACGCATACCCTCAGACACCCCAATTAGTATATTATGTTATAATCATAATACATACACTGAATTTTAGTTAAACATTTTTATGCACTGATTATTTATGAAATTAGTTATACTAATTCCGGAAGAATATTGTGGTCACAGTACAAATCCACGAACGCAAAGACTTTAACGTGCTTGGAATAAAGTTCATATTTCTTTATTTTTATTGAATGACAGAATTAGTAATAATACAAATAAAACTGCACTCTTAAAAGTCTTATTGCCTTAAGTTACGGTCCATATCAGTTTGTTTTGACTGTACAGATTAGTGTGACTGTAATTTACGTAGTTTTAACTATTTTTGGGATAAAAAATTACCTATATTAAAAATGATAGGAATCGATTCAGTAAACGATTCTGAACAAACTACTTTCTCAAAGTGCGTTAATTATGTTACGTGTTGTATAACTTGTATTCCTATCTATATGTCCAGCAATACTAGTATTAAAAGGAAAGCGTTTTTATTAAAATCATAGAAGTTATTTGGAAAATTATCTCAAATAAAAAATTTAATTAACTTAATATAAATATTTATCCAATGCTTTTGCACTGCTTTATAATATGCTGTATCTGGATGTGACAAACTTATATACTTTCTCATCTGGTTAAGGTATACATAAGTCATAAGTCTAGAATCTAGATTCTAATAATAAGTACTTACCTGTCTTATACACACATATTAGGAGCAATTAATCTTACCCCGGTAATTTGAGGCTAGTATAAAAATAAATATTATAGCCCTTCGTTCTAGAATTTATTTCCGTAGTTTACACTTCGCATCGTTTGAAAAAGTAGAACCTTCATTTAGTTAAATACATTGATTTATATTAAATAACTCAAAACTTAACGCCTGAGATGTGAGTATTTGGTGGAGCGTGCAGCGTAGCGGCCCCCAGTAACTTACTCTTAGTATCCCTGTATTATTATATACTTATCTTCAAGAAGTTTCTACACAGGCATGGTGTTGACGTCAAGCAGAAGAAAGTAAGAACCAGCGGCGTTCAGTGACACGAGTACTCATTTATTTTGCGCGTATTTGTTATTTAACCTTTAGTTAATTGTAAGTTACGTTTAGATGTAAGTTTAATTACTTAGGTATTAACGTACTCGACTCGTCCTTGTGTGTAGTCCTTTCGTTATTGAGTTATCTGATAGAGTATAAAAGCCTTAAGATATTACATATATCTATTTATCTATTCTTCTTTGCTTCAAATAAACCTTCTTTTTCTTTGAAATTAATACATACGGGATGTATGGCGAATTTCGGTTAAGTATCGAAAACTCGAAACCAAACAGGTATGAATATATCTTGATGTCAGTGCCGGATAGACTACTTATTGTCTTAAGCAATCCACACATAACGGGCCCTTTTCAACTAGTAAACGGTCTCTCAAAAATTTTAAGTAGGTATTTGTGACAAAAAGATCGATCATCTCGTACTTTTTGTAGAATATTCTGAAAGAGATTACTAGATTAGCTAGGAAAACTAAATCATACCATTATTTTATTATTTATTGAATTTTCGTACTGCAACTTTTCAAGGCAGCAAAATGATGTTAAAATTCATTAATTTTCTTAGCATATTTGCCTGTATTTACAATAGGTACTGATATAGCGTCAAACCTTTCTAATAGCAACTTCGTTCAATAAAAAAATTATAATTTTCAACTTTGAAAATGATCGTTCTTTTGTGGAGTTTGATATAACACCCAATGTTTTTCGGTGTTGTTTATGGTACCCTCGAAAACGTCGTCTTATAAAGTATAGTCTAATACTCTAATACGTCACAAATTGATATATGTTATTTATGAATTTTCAATATGAATATGCCATTTCATTTATTATAAAATGTTATTTATATAAACATAGGTTATTATTATATGAATTAAGGCGTTATTAAATTGTCAGTACGTTTTATTTCCAAGGTACTTTCGAAGTTCTCACAGCCAACGCCGTCTTAGGTCATACCGGGGCCCTTGGGCACACAAGAATTTGGGGCCCTTTTGGAGAGTAAAAAAGTGAATGACAAAAACATTTTTCTGCTATGATCTTATATTTAAATTATAGATAAATCAAATAATATGTCATTAAGGGGATATAGAAAGTCAGCTCAAATTCTAATTTCGCCCCCACTTCCCCGCGCGTCGTATGCTATGTACCGACATGTTTGTAATCACTAGGGCCCGGATTAATATGTATTGAAAACATCAAAATATGTACATATAATATGGACTGAAAATCCTCAAATATGGGAAAAATATGTATAATAAAAGATAACGACATTGTACATTAAATCGACTTTTTATTAAGGAAAACAAAAAAAATACAATTTTACTTCGCTTCTGTTTCATTATTATTTGAATTACAGTATACAATTACGTGTTTCTTTAAATTTTCAAAATTAAAACCCTTTCTGTTCGGACGAAACAATGCCTTGTACTGGCTGAATGATCTTTCAACATCACAGGATGTGATTGGAGCATATTTAAATTTGCATAATTCTTCAAGTGAGTAGGGTACATCTATGGTGCCTTCTAATGTTCCACACAGCATGCTGTTAATTTTCTTTAGGGTATTAAATCCTTTGTTTTTTTCCAGTACGTAGCTTAATTTTTGCCTCGCTACTTCAGCAACGGGACCTTCTGATGCTAAAACTTTTTTTTCGATATTTTCGATAATCTTCAAATTATCATTTAGAGAAGTAGAAGAATTTTCGAGTGCCTTTATCTCGTGTGATAAAAAGCAATAATTGCTTTTTATGTAAAGCAAATCGTTACGTAGAGTGTCATGTTCGAGAAGTTCTTTTGAGATTGAAATAGCAGCAGCCTCGTTCTCTAATTCAAAAATAATAGTTTTGATTTCAGTGTAATACTGGGTATAGTATTCAACTGCTGTCAGCCAAGTTCCCCAGCGAGTCAGCACTGGCTCTGGTGGTAAAGGAATGTCGGGATACATCTCTTTAAATTTTGAGATCCTGCTTGGTGCTTTCAAAAAAATTTTCTTTACGTTTGATACTAAACTGTCAACATTTTTAAACAGAGACCTTATGCATTCAGCTAATCTATTTATACCATGAGCCAAGCACGTCACATGAATCATTTTTGGATACAAAACTTGAAGGGCACTTGCAGCTTTTACCATATAAGGAGCAGCATCGCTAAGTAACAAGAAAACTTGTTCATGTTTAACTCCATCAGGCCACAAAACACTCATTGCATCATTAAAAAGCTTTGCTGACGTTTGGTGGTTGCATTTAGGAAGTTCTTCACATGCTAATAAAAAGGATTTGCTGGCATTTTCTTCATCTAGACGTCCGATAATCACATTGCCAATGCATCGGTTTTGAGAATCTGTAGTTTCGTCAATGGCAACCCATATAGGGCCATCCTTTATATATTCACGAATCGAAGCCAAACAATTTTCATAAATACCAGACACATAATTTTTTCTAAGTGTGGATTCATCAGGAATGCGTTTGCCAGAGTATTTTTCCAGGAATTGTTTAAAAGTAGGATTATTCAATTTCCATAAGGGTATATCTGCACATATCATAGCTTCACATAATTCTTTCGAGAAAGTAGAACTTTGGGAGCTGCTCGCGACTGCATCAGTAAAAAATTGTTGCTTAAATTTGTTCTTTCTTGTAATATTTTGCTTGTGTTTAACAGTAGACACATGTTGTGATATCAAAAAACGTTGCTCGGTGGATATAGATTTTTCACAAGCATTACAAAATAGTACTTTTCCATCTGTAGTTAGGCATTGGTTTGGGAAATCTTCGATATACTTTTCCAATTTGAACCGCAATGGTTGCTTATCCTTAGGCATTTTTGCAATGCGAGTAAGTAACAAAATACAATCACACGCGACAAATCGACACGGCAAGCAATTACGAGCGTCACTTACGAACTGTGGGGCACGCACGACGCACGAGTCAGGTGAGGAAAGGCGGTGCGGGGCGGGTGACGCGAGCGCGATTCAGTGACCGCTGTCATCTTGGCGCAAAACTCATTTTTAGGTATTTTACAGAGCTGCTGATTCATCTAACATAAAATAATGAAGATATGGATAAATTTACTTAATTTCTTGTGAAATATGGATTTATACTTAAAATATGGAAAAATATGGAAAATAGAAATTGCATTTTCTTGATCTAAATATCATAATTTATGTAGAAAATATAATTAAGAACAAAAGCCATTTCAAATAAAAATATGGATTTACATATTAATCCGGGCCCTAGTAATCACTAATACTGTAAGTAGAAAGGTCGTTAGACACTTATTTCATTAGGTTTATCATATTTATGCCTGTTTCTTAAAGCCAAGCCAGTCGCTTCTTATTTTTATTACTTACGGTTATTTCATATTTTAATTTTACGTCGTCCTGTTGCGTAATGTGTATTTTGATCGTAAGCGACACAACCTTCCCCTTCAAAGGCCGAAGCGAAACTGACCGGGCGGCAGGACAGGAATCAAGTTTCAAGAGGCCGATAGTTTAGGTAATTTCTTTTTTACAGTGAAAATAATGGTATTTTAAAAAAAGTAAATAACATAAGCACTGCTTTATAGTTAGTTCAGTTAGTATGCAAAGTTTCATGACCTTATTTAAAGTATTTTATGAATAACAGCGGTTTATTGTTTATTTTGGAGGTAACTTTGGATTTTTTTTTCTATCGAGAAAACTTTACGGAATCGTGTTTTCGTCTAACATAGTCCTTAACATTAATTCTCAACTTTACCATA